AAACTAGTTTTAATTAAGAAAGGACTTGTATCGCTGAAGTTTCTCGGAAAGAATTTATACGGGAAATTAACAAACAAGCAGGTACGTAACACATCTATAAATCAAATTCCTCATGGGTCAGCAATAAGTTTTACGGACTTACAACACCAAAATCCTGGGTTTGATTGTGAACTTGTAGGATATCAATAGCTCCTGACGAAGTTGTTAAAGCGAAATATTGATTTAATAAAGATACATTCTGGAGATATATGTCGTCATTTTATTTACCTTAAAAAATGTCTCGTAATAAGCTTCAGTTTGCGTTAAACAAAGTTGAGAATAACAAATCAATCAATAATTCAAGAATACTTTATTAAACTCAGAAATATTTTTATTATCATTGTTAAATACAGTACAGTAACAATTTGTGAGACAATTTTTGTATTAACTTTGTAAAGGCCTTTTAACAGAGATTAGACTTGAAAAGCTGATTCAACAAATTTGTTCACTGATCAAAAGTAGTGGTCGATAGTATGAAATACCAGCTCCTTCTCTATTCTACTTTGGCTTATATAGGCCTAACTTTTAAAACGTTTGAAACGTTATTCTTTGCTCCCGGATTTATTATTTACTTGGTAAAATAAACAAATGAAATAGCAAATAATACAAAAAATAAGTATAAACAATCAAATAGATACAAATATTTTAAAATTGAAATATGCATTTTAGAACTAGTTTTTAATCTATTTTTGTAAAAGAAGGAAATAAAGATCTAAAATGCTCTATATATATATAATCAATTAGATGTGAATAATACTGAATAACTGATAAATGCAAGGACAATAAGCCACTATATTATTTTCTGTTGAAGAGTCCATCGAGTCGTTCCTATCATGAGAAGAAAACTGAAATAAAGACACGAAATATTACATACGTATGATCAAGATAATATTTTTTATACACTTTCAGAACTTTGCCGATTTATTCAAACAGAAAAATCAACCGTTATAGAAGACTACGATACAGATAAAATATACTTTCAACTAATACTTATTTATTTATTTGAACTTAAATATAATTGTTATTTCTGTTTTATTTGCCTATAAACAGTTTCAGTCTTCTGAGAAAATCGATCTTCGACCTAAACAACAGAACAAAAACTAAAGGTAAGTTTCATTATGAGATTTTAGCCGTTCCTTTAACAATCAGTACAATTAGTGTTTCTACATATTTACATTGAAAAAATAGATAAACTTAAAAAGTAAGAAATCTCAGTAGTAATCTGTATCAGGAAAAATAGTCTTTTATATTTTCTAGTTTGTTTGCAAGAGCTATTAATTCAACTGTAAGGGCAACTTTAAACAAGGAATAGACATAATGAATGTTAAAATAATGAAAAAATAAGATGCAGAGAAACGCATAGTGTAAGAACAAAGTACAGACGCAATTTTAAATGTAGGCTAAACTGTTATTATTGTAATGCTCGAAGTATAAAGAAACAAAACAGATGACTTTAGTGCACTGGTCGAACAGAGGATTTTAATCTAATGGGAATAACTGAAACCTGGTTAAATTTAGACAATTTTGATCATAGGAATTTCTTTGAAATACAGGGCTATAAGTTGTTTAATAGGGATAGAATCTAAAAGAGCGAAGAAGGGGATTTTTGTGTAAAGTGTGAGTTACATCTTGTTCAAGTTAAGGAAATTATAGCTAATAGCAATAAGGGAAGAGAGTTTTTAATCGGAATTTGTTACAGACCACCAGATGAAATTGATGAAATTAATGAGAAAATTTACAGTGAGATATTGAATTCGGCTGTTAGTGAGGTCATAATTATGGGGAATTCTAATTTTAAGCATATAGAATGGGAAATGTTAAAATCATATCATGACGGAGAACAGGTTTTTTTAAAACTGATCAGGAACCTCTAGAGACAATGCTATTTTATATCTACGGTTAACTTCTAATATAAAAAAATGGTTGATAGAGTAGAAAATAGGTGCAAGTGATCATTGCTGAATTAGGTTTAATGTTTCACAGCATATGGAGGTAATGAATAATAAGAATTTGGTTCCAAACTAAGAAAAAAGCACATTTTAAAGGTTTGATACAAGAATTATCTGCTATAGATTGGGCAACTGAAGGAATTGAAGATATTGATCAAATGTGGAAAATGTTTTCAAATGAATTTTTAAGTATTCAAGATAGTGATGTCATTTCTAAAAACAAAAAGGGTGACTGCAAGTAAAAAAAACAGGTGGTTCACAAAGGGATTAAAGGATAAAATTAAAGAATAGTATTATAAGCTTAAGAGGTTTAAATTGTCTGCTATAATGGGAGATTTAAAGAATTACAGAAGATTAAGAGACTTCGTTAAACGGGAAAATCGAAAACTATATGATAAAAAGATTGACTAAAATGTAAAAATTAATAGTAAGAAATTCTTCACATACATTCAGGGTAAGCAAAATGTTAAGATGGGAGTAGGAATGATACAGGAATGCTGATATCTGATGATTATGAACTGGCTGGGTTACTAAATTCTATAGTTTATTCAACATTTACTTACGAAGATTTTAACGATATTACTCATTCTGAACATTAGATAGATGGAAACACGATCGAACAAGATGGTCATATTAATTCTGAGCTTGCTAAGAAAAAATTGGGAAGTTTAAAGAATGATAAATCTCCAAGGCCAGATAATATATCCACAAATATTTTGAAGAAAGTTAAGGATTGGCTATGTGAGCCATTTCCTGCTGTTTTCTGTAGATTCTTGAATAGTGGGTAGGTGCGAGAAGATTGGAAGTTGGCTAATGGTGTTCCACTTTTATAAAGAAGGTGATAAAATTGTTTCAGTAATTATAAGACAATTAATATTACATCGGTGATGGGAAAAAGTTTTCTAAAGTTATTCAAGAAAGTTTAAAATTGTGTTGGATAGTCAGTACGGTTTCACTAGGGAAAATCTTGCCTTATTAATCTTTTGACATTTTTTGAAGAGATTACTGTTTACAGATAAGGGCACGGGTGCGGATTTGATGTATTTGGATTTTTAGAAAGCATAAGACAAGGTGCCACATAAAAGGCTTGCTAAAAAATTATATCTGCCTCATTGGATAGAAAACTGACTAGACAGAAGAGAATTATTATTAATGGAATTCATTCAAACTGGATTAATATCAAAAGTGGGGTACGTCAGGGTTCAGTGTTGGAACCTTTGTTCTTTTTGATTTACATCAATGACAAAGATGAAGGACTGGTAAATAACTTATTTAAATTTGCTGGTGATATTAAGCTTTTGAGTGTTGTTCACTGTGAAGTAGATGCTGCTGCCTTATAAAAGGATTTGGATTATGTGGTTAGATGGGCGAATAAAACACAGAAGACTTTCAATTATAATAAATGTAAGGTAATACATGTGGGATATCATAACTTGATGTTATCATAATTTTGATGGAATAACCTTAAATGTGTAATGAAAGAAAAGGATCCTGGTGTTCGAATTTATGAGCCTCTTGCGCCATCCAAGAAATGTGATGTTACCAATGGCAGAACAAAGCCGATTTTAGATTGATCTACAGAAAGATTGAATATCAGACTAAAGATATTATGATTTAATTGCACAGGTCAATGGTTAGGCCACAATTGGAGTATTGTGTTCAGTCTCGAGCTCCTTACCTTAGAATGGACATTGAATTGATGGAAAGGGTTCAGAGGAGGGATAATAGGATAATACTTGGGATGGAAAGATCAAGCCAGGACAGGTTAAGTACTCTGATATAATTTTCTTTTGCAAAAAAAAGAAAACTTAAAGGTGTTTAAGGAAGTTAAGGAAATTGACGGTGTTGATGCATCGTCTTTTTTCGTATTTAATTGTGAGAATGGTAGTATTATGGGACACTAACATAAATTTTGGGAGAGTAGGAATCATTTTCTTTTTTCCACCATGGTGTTTGGACTTTGGAATGGGTTGCTTTCAGATGTGGTAGATTCAGGTAATTTATGGGAAATAAAGAGAAGAATTTAATTTGAGTGTTTTATTATTTTGAAGATTAGTAAAGTGGATAAGGCAGCTAGATTGACCATAAATTATATGTATAATAGAGTCAAAAACGCCATTCCAAAAAACAAAATCAAATAATAATTAAAGCTCACAAATTGCTTACCCTTCATAGAACAACCAGCTTTCCACTCATAGTCACATACATTAAGTTCTCGGTTGAAGTGAAGGGGTGCTGGGCAACGCATTAATTTTGGTAATCCATTGTCACAAACATAGTACAGAAAGCAGTTTTCAGTGTGATGGAGAAAAACCGGAAATTTCCCGTTTTGGGGAGGACAAACGTTGGCTGGTTCAGTTGTTGTTGTTGTTTTCAGACCTTAAAAAGGTAAAATGAAAATAATCAAAGCCCTTTTATTATCTTCAAACTTACAGACTTCACAAAAAACTCTCCTTTTTTGTGGAGTCACGAATACTTTTAATGTATCAAAGAACACACTTCTTCATTAAAAATATACAAATCAAGAGGAATTGGATCTTGTGTTAACATTAGTCATTAATTGTAAAACATACAGTTATCCTGAATGGATGTATTTTTAATCGCTCATACTTACTTCTATGTGTTGTTGATTCTGATTCTATGGTTCTGTTACCAACTACAACTGATATTGTTGTGTTATTAACAATGTCGTCTTTGGAAGATATTACTACTTCCGTTCTGTTGATATATATAGAACTGTCAATAATATTCAGCATTAATGCTACACATTTATTCTTGCGAATTATTCCTTCGACAAGATGTTAATATATCAAAAACAAATGTGAAGTATAAATCAGTGGCAAATAGTAAAATCGAATGACAGATCGTGCTTCACATTTAATTTCTAAATATTCGTTGGATAACTTTACGAAACACTTGAATTAAGCGTGTCCAAGGAATACCTTTCTTAGATACGAATGTGTCAAATACAGTATTAATTTATAATATTTTTTTCCAATTAGATCATTTGTCGTCAATAAAACCCGAAGTGACAAATAGTTCTTCTACAAACGTCTCAAATAGGACAGGAAACACAGACAGTCCGTTCTCAAATACCAGTTTAGGATATACAGTTCAACCAAATAAAATATATATGTATGTATAGGATAACGGTGTAAGTAAAAAAAGATCTCAAAACACTACACATTTAATAACTAAAATTATTTAACAGCTTAGTTTGTCTTAAAATGTGAGACGTTATTATCGAGAAGTCCTTTCGATGTCTTAAACGTTTTCAAATTGAGTATTTTATTAGAAACTTATATAATTAATGTTATTATTTGCGTAAGATTGATGTGAACAACATTTGTACCTATAGTTCAATAAAGACAGTGTTAAAACCTCACGTGTGGAAACGTTGAAGAGAGTTTTTAGAATGTTTCCGAAATATATTTGCATTTTTAAAACACGTTTAAACATTTTAAACGCTCTTCTAAATTTCCCCATGATCCATGAAACACGTGAGAATTAGTTGATATCGTAGCATCCTTGTCCATGTTTTCTTAAACTTTCTTTGTTGTTAATACCTGTTCTGTTATCATATACACCTGGAGTTGGTGTGTCACTAACGTTGTTTTCTCTTGAAGACACTGTCACTTGATTTCGGTTTTTATTTGATTGAATTATTAATTATAAATTGATGTTTGAGATCAAGCCCTTTCTGATATATATTCTGTAAGAGATTTTTGTAGAAGAATTATTTGATATATTTTTGTTTTCTGATCCAATAGTAGAAAAATCGTGTAAAGTAATATTATATTTTACTTATTCGTTCTCGATAAAGGATTATGTTTAGAATATAATATTACGATTTCATAAACGAATAACAAAAACTCAAATTATTTAATAACTTTCGTTTTTGTCAAAGATGTGATATTTTATAAAGTTTTTCTGATCTCTTGGGAGAAAAAAACCACTATATTGTTTTACGTGAATGTGTAGTTATACTGTACACCATTATGTAACTATGTGAACAGAATTAGTGTAAACGGTTCAAACAAGCTATATGAAATGAACGTGTTTCGCGTTTTCTGAGTTTAATAAACCTAAGATGTTCTTATAGGATTCTTTATGATCTATGGAACAGATGGCAATTTGAAACATAGCTGTTGGTGTTTGAGAATCCTAATTTTTTAAGAAAAGCAACAGAAAAGAAAGAGAAGACCTGAAACTCACCATTTTTAGAACAGCCAGCTCTCCACTCATAGTCACATACATTAAGTTGTCGGTTGAAGTGAAGGGGTGAGGGGCAACCCATTAACTTTGGTAATCCATTGTCACAAACATAGTACAGCGAGCAGTTTTCTGTATGAGGGAGAAAAACTGGAAATTTCCCGTTTTGGGGAGGACAAACGGTGGCTGGTTCAGCTGTTGTTGTTGTTGTTGTTTTGAGACCTTAAAAAGATAAAATGAAAATAATCAAAGCCCTTTTACTAACTTATAGACTTCACAAAAAATTCTTTATTGGGGGGAGTCACGAATACGTATAATGTATCAAAAAACACACTTCATTAAAAATACACAAATCAAGAGGAATTGGATCTTGTGTTAACATTAGTCATTTATTGTAAAACATACAGTTATTCTGAATTGATGTATTTTTAAGCGCTCATACATACTTCTATGTGTTGTTGATTCTGCTTCTATGGTTCTGTTACCATCTACAACTGGTATTGTTGTGTTTTTAACAATGTCGTCTTTGGAAGGTATTATTTCTTCCGTTCTGTTGTTATTTGGTTGAACTGTATATCCTAAACTGGTATTTGAGAACGGACTCTCTGTGTTTCCTGTCCTATTTGCGACGTTTGTAGAAGAACTATCTGTCACTTCGGGTTTTATTGATGACAAACGATCTATATGTGATAAAATATTCTAAATTAATACTGTATTTGACACAATAGTATTTAAGAAGGGTATGCCTTTGACACGTTTAATTCATGTGTTTCGTAAAGTTATCCAACGAATATTTAAAAATTGAATGCGAAGATCGATCTGTCATTCGATTTATACTTCACATTTGTTTTTGCTATATTAACATCTTGTGGAAGGAATAATTCGCAAGAATAATTGTGTAACATTAATACTGAATATTATTCACATTCCTATATATGTGTATAGGATAACGGTGTAAGTAAAAGAGATCTCAAACCACTACACATTTAATAAGTAAAATTATTTAACAGCTTAGTTTGTCTTAAAATGTGAGACGTTATTATCGAGAAGTCCTTTCGATGTCTTACACGTTTTCAAATTGTGTATTTTATTAGAAAATAGTATAATTAATGTTTTTATTTGCGTAAGATTGATGTGAACAACATTTGTACCTATAGTTCAATAAAAACAATGTTAAAACCTCACGTATGTAAACATTGAAGAGAGTTTTTAGAATGTTTCTGAAATTTATTTGCATTTTTTAAAACCAGTTAAAAAATTTTAAACGCTCTTCTAAATTTCCCTGTGATCCATGAAATACGTGAGAATTATTTGATATCGTAGCATCCTTATCTATGTTTTCTTAAACTTTCTTTGTTGTTAATAC